TTTATGATGAAAAACAAATGCGGATAGAGCCATTTGGTGTTTTACTTGCAATCTTTAACAGCCAACTAAAAGACTTTTAGGTCTGGATGCCATGCCTTCCCAGACCCCTGACTGTGGACCTGGGAGCTTATCCATGCAGACGAGTAAATTGAACAGCCACTCTTCCCTTTAGTATCCAGTGAAGGATTCTGGCCAGAGAGAGGGAAGAGAGAACTAGAGAGAATGTTGGGGAAGGTGTTTGCTAGGAGGTTCTGGCTTTACCTACATGACTTGTTTAGGGTGAAAGTCAGAACCTACCTACGATTAGATATCCGCAGCAATCATTTTAGCAATCTTGGACCTTCTATAGGTCTTTTGGAGGCGAAATATGCTCAGAATGCAGATTTTTATTGTGTATTTTTCTTCCAGATTGAAAAAGTGATCCCTAGAAGAAAATGTTGCCTTTGTCCTCCGTTCATCCAGATGGATAGATTGGAAGCCCCTGGAAGTCACCATAAACCTGCAGCAGCAGCCCCTCACTAAAGAAAGGGTAACTCCTTCAGCTAAAAAGCTTCCAAACTTGAAGGCAGATCCCCTTTGCTAAGGAAAAATTACTTGGCTGTACATGACCAATATGATCCCCCTACCCAGTATAAACATTACTCAGCAATCCCCTATATGGTTTGAATTTGGTTTATTTTATACTGTAAATTATATTGTAAAATGTCCTGAATTTCTAACTTGCTGGGAAATCCAGGACATTTTTTTGGTCCTAAATTTGCGATGGAGTCCTGAATTTCTAACTTGCTTCTCAATTGCTGGATGCCAGTTTCCTGACCATCCTAGGGTTCTCTGAAATGCACAGGAAATGTCTGTAGGTTTGGCAAACTCTCCCCCACCCCGTTCTCCACACTCATCCCAAAAGTGTGCATTCAGCATTTGAAAGCTTTTAATCATCTTCCCTCTCAGCTCCCTTAAACACACTTGTACTCACACTTTTTATGAAGTTAAAAGTTTCATTTTCAATCAGCTGACTTCGAAGGTACATATCTATCCTTAACCTTTGTCAGATATTCCTAAAAAGCTCCACTTTTCCCTTCTAACCTTCAATAATGTTATTTTTATAAATGCATGCCAAGTCTGTGAATCCATTTAAAACTATATTTTTATTGATTTCAGAGAGGAAGGGAGAGGGAGATAGAAACATCAATGATGAAAGAGAATCATTGATGAGCTGCCTCCTACATGCCCGCCACTGGGGATCGAGCCCGCAATCCAGGCATGTGCCCTGACTGGGAATTGAACTGTAACCTCCTGGTTCATATGTCGACATGCAACCACTGAGCCATGCCGGCCTGGCTGTGAATACATTTTTTAAAAATATGAACGTATTTTTCAATATAGTAGTATGAGAATTAGGGGTAGGGAAGCAGCACCAGAAGCTGAAGGCCTGGAAGCTAGAATTGGGACATTACTTGAAATAATCAGAATAAAAATTATTTTATTTCTTTTAAAAAATATATATATTTTTGCCCTGTCCGGTGTGTTCAGTGGTTAGGGCATTGGCTCATGTACCAAAAGGTTGTGCGTTCCATTCCTGGTCAAGGGCATGCACCTGGGTTGCAGGTTCGATCCCTAGCCCCTGTTGGGAGGCAACCAATGGACGTATCTCTCTCATATCAACATTTCTCTCTCTTTCCCCTCTCTCCTCCTTTCCACTCTCTCTAAAAATCAATGGAAAAAATACCCTTGGGTGAGGATTAACAAAAATATAAAATTACGTGTTTTTAAAATTGATTTCAGAGAGATGAAGGGAGAGGGAGAGATAGAAACATCCATCGGTTGCCTCCTGCACCAACCCCTACTGTGTATGGAATCAGCAACCCGGGCATGTGCCCTGACCGGATATCGAACCCGTGACCTCCTGGCGCATGGGATGATGCTCAACTAACTGAGCCAAACTAGCCAGGCTCTTTCATTTCTTTAACAATCTACATATATTGTTTCGAACATCTACCATTGTCATAGGCCTTGATAATATGACAGTGAACAAAACAGACAAAATCCTTGCCCTCAGGAAGCTCAAGTTCTAGTGAAAGAAGACATAATAAACTAAATTAAGGAAAATAAAACAGAGATGGAGTACAGGGAGTGTTTGTTTACAAGTTTAAAAACAGGTGGCCTTTGGCCCTGGCTGGTGTGGTTGGTTGGAGCATCATCCCATGCACCGAAGGGTCTTGGGTTCGATTCCTGGTCAGGGCACATATCCAGGTTGAGGGTTGGATCCCATGTTAGGGCATGTATGGGAGGCAACGGATAGATGTTTCTCTCTCACATCGATGTTTCTCTCTAAAAATCAATTTACAAAAACAAACATATCCTCAAAAAAAAAGAAAAGAAAAAGAAAAAAGAAAAAGTGGCCTTTGAGTAGTCTTAAAGAAGGTGAACCGAGGGGCTATGCTGACATCTGCGGGGAGAGAGTCCCAGGCACAGGAAACAACAGCAAGTGCACAGGCTCCCAGGGGAGCATCCCAGAGAGAATGAGAAACTGCCAGGAGGATTTGCTGGAGCAGCAGGTGATAAGGTCAGAGGAGTAAAAGGAGGCAGCAGATCCTTAGAGCCTTGTCAGAAAATGTAGGTACTGTGGCTTTTACTCCTACGAGATGGGAAATCCAGAGGAGAATTTCAGACAAGGGAGCAAACAGTGTCTGATTTAACACGACCACTGAATGCTGGGTTGAGAAGGTAAGGGGGCAGGTGTAGAAGAGGAGAGACCAGTTAGAAGGCCACTGCAGTCATCCCTCCCAGAAATTGATAAAATGTTTGACTGGTTTACAAAAAGGGAAGAAAATGTGCTTGCAGAATTAAAAAAAAAAAGGAAGGAAACAATTATTTTTTAGATGTTAAAATTGCAAGAAAAAGATCAATTGTCAATTACTCTGCTACCATATCTCCTCCAGACGCAGTGGGCTTGGGAATCCCAGGGAGCTAGGTCTTCAGGATTTTTTTTTCTGCTGAGCGATGTTGAACCTAGTACGGTGTGGTCAGTGCATTAAGAATGTGCCTTCAGTCCTGGCAGGTGTGGCTCAGTTCCGTCAGGGCACATGCTCTGGTTTCATGTTTGGTCCCCTTACATCTCTCTCTCTCTCTCTCTCTCTCTCTCTCTCTCTCTCTCTCTCTCTCTCTCTCTCTTCCTTCTCCTCCTCCTCCCTCTTTAAAATCAACTTCAAAAAAACAGCATAAAAAAATAGAGCCTTCATGTGTCTGCTCCCTCCCATTTCCCAGACTTGCCTGGTGCCTGTTAGAAATAGACTCCTGGGTCCTTCCCTTTCAGTAACTGGGGGTCCATGGAATATATACTTTCAGCAAGACTATCAGTAGATTATTTGGAAGATGGGGAAATTGCTCAACTTTAGCCCCACGCGTTGCACACCCTCCGGTTTGGGGCACACATGGAAAGCGTTGCAGAGCACCCAGGTCGCCGGCAGGTGGCGGCACCTGACCGCGAGCTGCAGAGTGCGCGCGTCGTTTAGGGGAGAAGCGAAAGGCTCCCGAAGAGCTGGTCAGTGCAGTGCTGGGGCCACCTGGCCGCCGCCAGTCTCGGATGCAGCGGCGTGTAAGACTAGAGTAGGGGGACGCGGCCGGTACCCCGGCTTTATTCTAGGCTAAAGTGCATCTTAAGCCGTGCCTAGTGGGCTCCTGGGGCAGGAAGGCGCAGCCCTCTCTTCACCGGCACCGAGCACTGGGGCGCTCTCACCCGGTGCAGCGAGTAACCAGCCGCCTCGCGCCTCACTTCAGTCCAACCGAGTTAAACCAAGTACCGCGTTCTACTACTGAGGCTCCTCAGGGAACCGCGAACGCGCGGACCGCCCCTTTTCATTGGCAGTGGGACGGGAGGCCCCGCCCCTCTCAGACAGCTCTCTTCTGTGACTGGCTCTCGGGGCCGGCCGGCCACACCTCCTCCCCTCGCACATACACAAGAGTCACGCGCCTTTCAGTAGGAAACTTGGCGTGCTGAGCACCGTGGCCCTCAACTCCCCGCCCCTTGCCTTGCCATTGGCCCGCGGC